AAAGGCAGACGTGCCTGGGGAATGCTGACGAAGAGGAGAACGGCACTGGATACAAATGAAGAGGACCTTTTAGAATGTGATAGACTGGGCTTCTTCTGAGGATGACGGGCAGTCTAGGAGGCTCTGTGAACAGGGCTATGCTTATGCGAGGTGGTTTGGGGAATGGGAGAGTCAGAGAGGAATGATCCAGCTTTGGTTTTAAAAGATCATCACACTGAATGAATGGGGAATCAAAAATCACCTAGACCCAGCAGGAGCAGAAGCTGCAAGATGAGTTAGGAAGTCACTGCCTAAGTTCAGGGCCAGCAATAATGCAAGTGTGGACCGGATGGTGGCACTGGGGATGGAGGCAATATCATCACTGTGTGAACATCACAGATTGTACTCACATTCTAGGCTATATTCCCTAGTAACCTACTACACACGCAGGCGGTATGGTATACCCCATTGCTTCCAGGCTATAGAACTGTATAGCATGTAACTGTACTTAACACCGTAGGTGACTGTAATACAGTGATAAGTATTTGTGTATCTCAACACAGAAAAGGTACAGTAAAAATACAGTATTACAGCCTTATGAGACCAAGGTTGAATATGGGTCTGTGTTGACCAAAACATTACAATGTGGCCCATGACTGTATATACTTTACACAAGAAACACATCTCAGACAGAAAGGTTGAGAATAAAAGGACTGATAAAACTGTACCATGTAAATACCAATCCAAAGCAAGCTAGGATAGCTATATTAATATTAGGCAGAAAATCATTTTTAGAGATAAAGAGGGTCATTTCATGATGACAACAGGACTATTTCTCAGGACCTATTATATACCTTTACTTAAAAACCTTGCCTCAAAACATATAAAGGGAAAATTTATATAATGAAAAAGAAAATTAAATGAATCCGTAATCATAGGCTGATTATTTCAAAATACCTCTCTCTCTAATTGATAAATCAAAGTAGACAAAAATATCTGTAAAAAACCTAAAAGTTTTAAATACCACCATTTACAAACTTGCCCTAATGTATGTATATAAATTACTACACCCAACTACTGGAAAACAGCCATGCTTTTCATGCTCACATAGAACATTTGCAAAAACGGACCATATTACTAGGTCATAAATCAAGTCTCAATAAATTTCATAAGACAGAGGATATCAAGTATGTGCTATTTGATCACAATGCATTTATACCAGAAATCAAGTTCCAAAAGATAACTAAACAATTCTCAACTGTTTAGAAATGAATTTCTAATAATCCACGGCTCAAAAAAGAAGTTAAAATAAAAATTTTAAAACACTTTTAAATGAATGGCAACAAAATAATACATACGAAAATCCATGTAATGGAGTTCAAGAAGTATACAGAAAAGAGTAAAATGGAAAATTAATAATCCTAAATAAGTGGACAGGTATAACATGTTCATGGGTTGAAAACTCAGTATTGTATGTCAATTCTGACTAAATTACATTAGTTAATGTAATTTCAATGAATAACTCAGTATGTGGGGGCTTTAAATTGTTTTTGTTAGTGGTATACGAGGTTATTTGTGTGTGTATGGGTATATACATGTATGTGTGTGTACACATGTGTAGAATTTAATAAGCTGATTCTAAAACTTTTATGCAAAAACAAATAAAAAATGGTCCTAACACTGTTAAAAAACAAGAGACAAATTGGAAGAACTGACTTATCCTTTATCAAGACATATTGGAAAGCTATAGTAATTAAGACCATCATATTGGTGCAGGGATAGACAAAAAGATGAATGGAAAAGAAGGCAGAGTCCACAAACAGACCCAAACTTATATCAATACTTCTGAGAAAGGTGGCACTACAGTGAACAAAAAGCATGTTCTTTTCAGTAACTAGGGCCGGGACAATTGTGTGCCATCTGGAGAGAATAGAAATAGACTCTAACACACTCCATACACAAAAGCTGACTCTAAATGAATTACAGACATACATATAAAAGTTAAAACTGTAAAGCATTTGAAAGATAATATATTATCATCATCATAACCTCAGGGTAAAGAAATACTTCTTAAAACAAGATACACGTGCAAAAAACCCTAACCATAAAGGAAAAGTGATAAATTTGAGTAAAAGTTAAGAACTTCTGTTATTCAAAAGAAACTATAAAGAAAATGACAAGGTAATCACAGAACAGGAAAGAGAAAATATTAGCAACACATGTAGCTGACAAAGAACTTCAATCTAGAATACATAAAGATGTGTTAACAAACGAATAATGAAGAAAAATATCCCAATGGGCAAAAGGTTTGACCAAGGACACTGTAATGTATACACACACCCCCCTCAAACAGCAAACACTTTAGAAGATGCTACGCCTCGTCCACAGCGTGGGCAACAGGGAACGGGATGTGCAGTCCTAACTCCAGGGGAAGCACGAGGGAGGGAGGGGAGGAGGCAGTGCACAGGAGGTGAATGCCCATGCCATAAAATAAACAGGTCACACCAAAACTTGATATATCAAGAAACAGCAGTAAAGCATATTATTTAGGTATACAAAAGTAACTACTAGAAGAAATAGCTAAGAAAGTGAATTAGAAAGTGTAGAAAGTGGAGCTAGAGATACTATTCCCTTACTGAATGCCTTCTGGTATTTAAAAACCCCCATATAGGTGTACTATTTTCATGAATTAAAGAAAAAAGGAAAAAAATCCACAAGAACGGGGGAAAAAGAGTGAATGGGAAGTGAGGACTAAAGTCAGAGTCATCAGATAATTCTTGGGGAATAGCCTGGAAGGAGCATTAATGCGGTTTTACCGATGGAATAAGGTAAATTTTGTAATCGTATCATGTCCTTATTTACTTTAGTACTGTGAAGGCCAGATTTTAATTTATAGATCACATCTAAAAACTGAATCTCTAGGTTGTAATGCTTTTTCATTTCTGACCATTCAACTGTCATTCTCCCTTTGCGCTGATATTTCAGTATGGGTCTCATATCTTACTACATTTTATATGCCTTTAAAATCTGGTAGGCTTAATAAATACAACTCCAAAGAATTACTGAATACACATAACACTAAAGATGCTTGTGATATTTCATCTTTTCTTAACGATTCACAGGAGATTCCATGATCTTGCAATGTTTCACTGATTATCATTCTAAAAGTCAGTTATCTAGCTAAAGATGTAGCTATCCTATATCTTTTTTTTTAAACGTGTAACTCTGAATCGTTTGTCCACTATATGAATATGTTTATGTGGTTCTCTGCATGTGCTCTGTCTCCTCCCAGTGACTTGTAAGAAGGCAGTGTGGGGAAGTGGCTAAGGGTCAGGCACTCACATGTATAAAATCTGGTTTTGACCTCTGGGCAAGCTAGAGACTCAGTTTTATTTCGTCATCTACAACATAGGGATGATAGTAATAGTATCTGCTTCATGGTGTTGTCTGGGTTCAATAAGGCAAAGGGTGTAACCACACAAGAGGGACTGAATGAATGTTTCCTGAAGGAAGAAGTGAATGAACGAATGGCCATCTGGCAAGGAGGACACCAAGGCGAAAGGTGCTGTGAGCATCTGTAGGCCTACGATGTGCTAGTGTGCAACGGTCTTTTTATTTTTTGGTGTTTGCTAAAAGCCAAAGACTAGCAATGAAAACCCCTTCTTCACTAGAAGGTCAATTCAGGGAATGTAAAAGTAAACTGTGAGTGAATTTCTTTTTTCATAATAAATCATAATTTTCATTCGGAAATGCAACATCTGCAATTGTACCTGAACATTCTTGTACTGCTTTCCCATGACTAGAAGCTTTCTTCTTTTTTCTTTCCTTTTTGAGGGGCTAAAAAAATGTCAACACTCTTTAATGAACACAGCCTGCAGGGACTCATGATAATGCCATGCACTGAACCAAATGTGCTTTACTCCGAAGAGGAGTCTTCTGAGGCTGTGTATTTGTCTTTTCCTGACTGAACTTACAAGCTACTGTGCTCTTTAAAATAGATTGTTTTCTATTGCTAATCAGACAAATGACAGTATCTTCAGCACAAATAATAAGCATTGCTCAGTCTACTTACTTTGAAACACATGATTTTCATCAGCTGCTTTTCTTTTCTTGGCAGAAGCCATAGTTTTATTTTTAAAATGCCCCCCTCCTCAGTCTCCTCAGTGCTAGGCTGGGCTCCTCACTGCCTCCCACAGGCTACACTCCCAGTCCTTGCAGTAGCCTTACTCACCCCTGCCCCGCCCCCAGCCAAGCAGTGACCAGGACAAGGGGCACAACTGAGTTTGGCTCTCACCAGGGAAGTTCGTGAAATTAAACAGTAGGTTTTATCTCAAATCTAAACAAGTTGTATCTGGTCCCTGGGTAGTGACCACTGTACTACATTAGTTTTGTATAGTACAACTACTTGAACTGGTAGGAAAAAGGCAGGGTCCCTGCAGAACACCCTCCAGCAAGGGTGGCTAACCCAAGCAAGGGCAAGAGCCAGCGCTCTCAGCTTCTGCAGCAGAGGGCTGCAGGACAAACCCTCCGAAGATGAGAATTCAGCACCACTGAAATGCTCCTTCCTCTTCCTAGGGAGCCAGAGCACTCACGTTTCTATGTTGCCAAACTCTTGTTAAAATAGGACTTCCCAAAGACTGGATACTCAGAATCTCTATAGCAAAACAATGTACCGCAGTTCATGTTTACTCTGAAGACCACACACACACTGGAAAGGTGATGCTGGTGATGTGCAGCACAGTGCCTCACATGGGCTGCCTCTGCCCCAGGTTTGAAAGTGCTTTTTGGCCACATGCTCATTTGGAATGTCTTATTCACCTTGAAAAACTTAGCTTACCATATTACAAAGGTTACAGAAATGATATTCCAGCACCACAACTCTGAGAAAACGATTTGGTTCTCAGGAACAAGTAAATAAGCAAGGCAGCCAGCTACATACTGAATGAACACAAGGAAAGGGACTTGTTTTGCTAAGGGCCCCGGCTGTAAACCTGTGCATGGTAATTCACGTGCAAGGATACAGGGGTTACTGTCACTGATGTTGCAGTTGTCCAGGATCAACGGGATACCATCCAGCTCATTTACCTAGAGAGAAAGAAGGTAAGTTTAGACACTGAAAACAGCATGGCTACAGTCAGAGATTGTAGATGACTTGTTCCTTTTGTGTTTTCTTATTCAGTGTTGTAATACTGTTTGCCCTATTATCTGAAATACCTGCATCAACCCAGAACTATATAAAACAATGTAAACAAAAAGTGATACTTTTCTTTTCACTGGACTTCAAAAATTTGGGGCAATTAGGTAGCCGTATAAAAGAGAATCTAAGTAGATCATTTCCTAATATTGTTCACCAAGATAAACTCCAGATGGATATGAGATCTAAACTTAAATAATAATAATAATAATAATAAATCAGTACTAGAAAAAAAAATGGGTGAATTCCTCTTCTAAGTTGGGAATAGGAAAAGCTTTCCTAACTATGATTCAATCCAGAAGCAACAGGGGAAAGGTTTTAAAATCTGACTATTTGTTTTTAAGACAAATGAGAACTGGGAAAACTATTTGTAAGGTATCACAGATCTGGAAGATATTTGCAAAGGATTAATATTTCAACATATAAAGAACTTGTAAAAATTTAAACAACACCAACAATACAATAGAAAAACAGGTGAGATACATGAAACATAAATGGCACCAAAAATACAAATAAACTAAAAAGACATCAGAGTATGTTCAAACTTGCTCATCAGAGGTAAGCAAATTATAATTACACACAACATTTCCTACCTGCCAGACTAACAACCAAGTCTGACAGCAAATGCTATTAGTGAGGCCACAGGGAAACAGGCACGCTCGTACACTGCTGGAGGGAATGATCAATGGTACAACTCCCATGAAAGGGAACCGGGTGTAAGCAGCAAAATGACACGTGATCCAGTAACCCTATTTCTGAAATTACAGATCAAAAACACACTACCCCACGAAATAAGGTTATTCATTACAGCACAGTTTGTTTTGTTATTTTATTTTTTGTAAAGATGAGGTCTCACTATGCTGCCCAGGCTGGTCTCAAACTCCCAGCCTCAAGTGATCCTCCTGCCTTGGTTTCCCGAAGCACTGGGATTATAGGCATGAGTCACCGTGCCTGGCCCAGTTCATTTTTTGCTGAGCATCATCACAAAGTATAAAATTTACACTTTTAAAGTGTGCAATTTGGTGGTTTTCAGTATATTCACAGAGTTAAATAACCATTAGCACGATCCAATTTTCAAACATTTTCCTAACCCCTAAAAGAAACTCCATACTCACTGGTCAGTCACTCCTTAATTCTCCCTCCCCCCAGTCCTTGGCAACTATCCATCTACTTTCTGTCTCTCTGGATTTGCCTATTCTGGACATTTCCTACAACGGAGTCAGATAATCTGAGCAACTTGTAGCCTTTTGAACTTGGCTTCTTTCACTCAAGGTCTACCCGTGTTGTGGCATGTCAGTGCTTCATTCCTTTTCATGGCTGAGTAATGTGAACAGTGCATTGTATAGATATGCCACATTGTATTTTTCCATTCACCCACTAATGGACATTTGTGTTATTTCCACCTCTAGGTTGTCATGATAATGCTGCTCTGAATGTGCATGTACATGTTTTTGAGTGGATATAAGTATTCATTGTTCTTGGGTATATACCTACAAGTCAAACTGCTAGATCATATGACAATTATAAACATTTGAGGAACAGTCAGACTGTTTTCACAGTATTTACAGTATTTCACATTTTCACCCAGCAATGTATGAGGGTTCCAGCATCTCCACAATCTCATAAACACTTGATACTGTCTGTCTTTTGTATTAGGCATTCTAGTGTAAGTGAAGAGGTATGTCACTGTGGTTTTGATGCGCATTTCTGATGACTAATGATACTGGATGCAGCACAACTTATTATGAAACAACTCAAGTCTCTACGAATGGGGGCTGCTTACATAAACTATAGTACAAACACAGTAGACTGCTATACAGCTGCAAATGTGAGTAGAGAAGATGGCTGATGGACTGCTGTGGGAGGACTGCCAGGAGATGTAGCCTGATTACAACATGTTAATAGCCTTATATGAGAATCTTGTGTGTGATAAAGGAGTATTTTTAAATACTCTGAACAAGAAACAATGAAAGAACCAAAAACAAATAATGGTTATCCACAGGATAAAGAGGAGAATGGGGTGGAGGAAACAGGAATGGAGACTCTGTGAATGTGCGTTGTATAATTCTGACTTTGGAATCCTCTGTGTTTTATCTAATTTTAAAAAATTAAATTTAAAGTTACAAAAACTGAAAACATACAAATTAATCTAATGAAATATAAAATAAAGTTCTTTTTCAGAATTAAACAGTGAGATATACGTAACCTAAGATGATACAGAACCACCTGGAAGTCTTTAAACTGCATTCAGTCATCTGAACATTAACTATTCCAAACGCCATGTCCCATTGAAAGAAACCAGATCTCCAGCTGATTCTAATGCACAGACTTGCTAGGAATCTATTAATGATCCTTGTTTTACAAACGGCAGGAAGAAGAGAATAAATTAATTGGTAATCATCTAATTTCTGTAATTTTTTTCCAGGCACTGAAGGTGTGATGGGAAATGAACTACTATTTAGTAGACATCTGGCATACACTAGGTAATCAGATGCTTTAATGACTTCATTTAATTCTGAAATGCTAGAGTAAGTATTATTGGTTCCCTTTTACACATAAAAAAGTGAGGCTCGGAAGTCCCCTCCCTGTGGTCACTGACCTCGTAAGTGCTATTCAAGGTGAGATCTGGAGACCACTGTCAGTTTGTAGGAACAGACACTGAGGGGAGAAGCTGAGAAACTGCTGACAATATGACAGCTATACAGTGTCTGCTGAATCTTATAATGAAATTTGGGCTTGAATTCTTATGTCTTTTTTTCAGATTTATTTTTCTAGTCATTCATTTTATACTATATTCTATACAAATACAGGTCCAGGATGGTTTGAGGGAAAGATAAGTGGCTCTTCACCACAGCTAGTTTAGGAAGCACTGGCATGGAGGGTTAGACCACTATAGAGAGTGGGTCTTGTAGGAGGGATCATGTGTTTGAGAAGCACAGAGAGAGTTTTATGGCCAAGTTGGTAATGACCCCACCTGAGACTGTAACCAAAGCTTCCCCAAAGATGCCCTCACACCCCCACTTCTCCTCTGATAACCTGCCCCACATCTACCAGCTGGATGGGGTACGTACACACAGTAAAGTCTGCAAATGGGAAAGAAGAGATGCCAAATGCCTTTGCCTTGTGCTGACTGATACTGGGGTGAAGATAAGGAGAGATCCAGAAACGAAGCAAGGGCTCTGTGTCACTGAGAAGAAAGAATCCAGCTGATCCTCACCAGCTCTCCACAAATGTGTGATCCAAACCCTTCTACAACACAGGTGCATCTCCACGCCAGACTGAGGTTGGTTTTCATGCTCATAGTTTGTTTAGCTAGAAGAACATACAGCATGGGGCTCACAGAGAAGGCCTCCCTAAAGAAGTGGTATTTAGCTTAAGGTGAGAAGAATGAACAGGAATTAAATAAGGCAAAGGGGACTGTGGGAGTGTTTGGGGAAGGGGAAGAGTATGTGCAAAAGCTGGAAGATAAGATGAAACAAGAAGTTCATGAACTGGGAGGCAGTGTGGCATAGGGATTAAGAGTGGCCACTGTGGAGCCAGACTGCTGGGGTCAAAGCCTTGCTATGAGATCTGCTGGCCTTGGGCAAGTCAAGAAACCCCTAAGACTTGATTTCCTCCCCTAAGACTTGCGGATGACAGTGCCTACTTCAAAGAGAGACTGTGAATATGCTTAGCACACAGTAAATGCTCAATAAAGAGCACTGGGAGTGACAGCAGTAGTTGGTGACATTCACACTGTTAAATGCAATTAGTTCATTTAGGAACAAGGAGTTGGGCAGTAGCTCCTAAATGCATGAAGAAACTGAACAATTACTTCAACAGAGCTGAATTTACACTTCCTCTCTGCATTAGGCAAAATTTCAAATTTATTTTCAAAAACCAGTTTTTTTGGATAAGTGAGAAATAAACGTATTCAGGATTCATTATTCAATGCATGGAAAACACCTCACTTTCTACAAAAAAAAGTAGAACTCTTGAGATACGCTAAACGGGTAAGACGTTCTTTGAAGGAAATGAAATCACACACTAAAAACTGAAATTTAAGCAGGCAATAAAGGTGAACTAAAGAGTTCTTAAAAATCACGGTTCCACTGGAGTTGTAGGTCAACTGAGGGTATGCGTTCCTGGATAAATATTTCTTATTCATACAGCTGCATTAGGAAAGGATACAAGGAACCATTTATAGAAGTTCATTAAATGTTTACAACATAAATGACTTATTCTGGACAAGGATGACAGCGGCATTATGACAAATACACAATTATATACTTGAGAATGAACACAGGTTAAGGTCACTGGGAAAAGTAGACACCAATACAGCACCTTCAGGAAGGGTGACTGACGATACAATTTCGTTATTATAAAGCCCAAGTTTACTGCTGTAACTACAAGTGTCAAGCTAATGTTAGGGGCAGGAGAGAAACAATTAAGTTTTCTTCTGTCAGCACTTCATTAAACAAGAAAGTTGTTTGTTTCTTTACTAACATGTTGGGAGTTGACTGTAGGCCCGTAATTAATGAGTCACAAGTTACAGTTCACACTGAGGAGCCAAGCTCAGTCAACACTTTCCCGTGGTAGTGCGTCTCCAGGAGACAATAAGCCTGGCTTAAACAAATTAACATTTAGTCTCTGGAAATGAAGTGTAAACAGAGGACAACAAATAGATTTGCTAACTATTCTTTCCCACATTAGCCAATAACGCCAGAGTAGGTACTCCGCAAAGGGTACAGGCCCAACTCTACTAACCAAACTCCTTTGGGAAAATATATTAGGTTGATAGAAAACAGAGCTTCAATTATTCTGGATGCTCTCAAATTGAGTGGTAAATATAAAAAGAAGGCAAGAGTACAATACAAAGGTGGACCCAAATCTCCTACACTGACTCCAGCCT